TATCAGAAAAATATTTTAATCTTGTATAATACTGTTTACTTTAGCATTTTATAGAATAAAATAATTTTAAAAATAGCTCTAATCAGTTTTACTACTTTCTCCTGGAAGCCAGTAAAAAAGAGAAATTTTAAAGTTTTGAGTAAGGCCTTAAAAATGGACTAAGATTGTAAATTTTAAAGCTACAAGCCCTCCTTCCTCTGATCAATGCTCAATGCTTTTATATATAAATACTAAGACTGCAGTTTTATCTTCAAATATTAACCTTGACTTCTCCTCCCTGTTCTTTACTAAATAGAAATGCAAATCAATTCCTGAGGGACTTGCATTAAAAAAATTAGTGTAGAATATTCATCACTCAGGCCTTTCTGCCTGAAGGACATCTCAAGTTTGTTCCCAGCACTATTTAGAATTTAAGAATAAAGCTATGAAAAGGGAAATAATTCTGTTTTTCTAGTCAAAAACTTTTACTTTACTAGAAGTGGGAAAATAAAATTGAATTGAATTTTTCTCCCTTAGGAAATGAGAGAGAGAGTAGAAGAAAATGGAAAGGCATAGGGCCATGGAGAGAAATCTCTATCATGAAAAAGAGACTACAAAGACCATAATACATATAATGAGGAAGAGAGGCCATACTCTGAGGAAAAGAGAAGAAAAGGAAAAAATAGAGGTTGAAAAAGAGAGTAAGGTAGATTGTTTGCAAAATGGCCATGATAACTCCCTTCCCTATATCTGCATCTTTGGGTAATCCTCACCTACATAAACCTACGCTGAGCCATGTGATTTTCTTTGTCCAGTGGGATAAGAGCAAACACTATACTAGTGGAGACTCCAACAGTGCTTACCTATTGAGACTTCCTCTCTCTTGCTGTGCTTGTAAACCTTAGACTACTAAGTGTACAAGCCTGTGCTAACCTGCTGGAGAATGAGGGGCCATGTGCAGAAGTGAGGAGCCTCAGCCAACAGTCCACTAGCAAACGATTTGCCAACAGCCAGACATGTGTGTGAGGCCATTCTGACCACAGACACATGAGAGGGCCCAGCAGAGATCAGCCAAGTTGTCACAGACCAGAAGTAATGCCCATTCCAACCACAGAACCATGAACTAAAGGAACCAGAGTGTTTTAAGTCACCAAGTTTTGGGGTAGTTTGATACACAGCAAAAGCTAACTGATACAGGGAACAATAAACAGAAATGGGGGACAGTAGCTTTTGCTGAGAAATAAAACATGGTGAACTTTTTATTTATTTCTCCACTTATTGGTTCATTTTAGTTGTTGGCTTCAGAATAGGTTACTATTTCATTTCCCTTTGAAATGTGCATTTGTTTAATAGGTCTGATTCATCATAAGATAAGTTTGTTTTTACCCTGGAAGGTAACCTTGCCAAAAAAGCTAGAAATAACAGCAGACCCCTATCCCCTAGCCCTAGTTGGAGGAGAGCGGCAGGAGGGAGAAAATACCTTAAAATTGTTCTTTGAATAGAAGCAGATCACAGTATTATCACCTGCTTACAAGATAAAATCAAATCAAAGACCAGATCTGGCATTATATTACAAGGACTATGATATCTTAAGCACAATGTATCTTTTAGAGACAGAGTAAAAAGCAATCTTTTTAATTAATATTTAATAATATAAATATTATTGAGCAATTTTACTTACATATGCTATTGGATACAAGTTTTATTTGGTTCTACTATAAATTCAAAAGTATTTATCAAAAGTCATTTTCCATATACCTGACATTTTACTCATATTTATGTTTTCTACTCTTTTTGTGTTTTAAGTTACAAAACTCTCACACAAAACTATTTGGTTTCTTTTATTTTTATGTCAGCCCTTGGGCTCATAATTATCTGGAACAGCTATAACAGAGTTGGCTCTCAGTGATAATTAAATGTCATTGTAAGTTGTGGGTCACTTTCTTTCTGAGCACCAAAGTCAGATACTATCTCTTTTCTTTGATTTTACTACCCCTTGAATAATTGAAAAAGAGATATTTTAACATTTTTCTTTGTGTTTGTGCAGGAAAATACCAATTTATAAATCCTTAATGGAAGGACAAGAATACATGCCTTCAGAATATAATTGCATCAAACCCATAAACAACAAGATAAACTCATCTATTTACAGCACAATGAAGAAAGTTTTATTCATATGGTTAAGCTCTTGAGTGGTTAAGTATTTATTCAATTGCATAGTTTCAAGCCTTCAAACAATGTATTGTGATATCAGTTTACAAAGAAAAGAGATTTTCAAGTCAATGTCACATTACTATCAAAGAATATGTACTGGAATATATACTGGGATATAAATCTATAGGAAAGATATGTAAAAAAGTAAATTTAATTGTAAGACTTATTATACAAATGATAATCAACTAAAGGTTTGTTTCTCATAGCCAGCATCTTACTAAAATGATTTAAATTTTTCATTTGCATATGCTAGCTGCCTTGCTCACTCATTCTTTAATTTACCTGAGTACTCTGTAGAAGCTTATCTATCTGAGTTATGACGATTAATATTTTCAAGATTTTATTAGAAAATTTCAGACACATGCAAATGTTGAGTAAATAGTGTAAACTATAAGGGAAGATGGGGAATGTAGGCTTTAAAATAGGCAGCACTGGGGCTGGCCCGGTGGCGCAAGCGGTTAAGTGCACGCCCTGCGCTGCAGTGGCCCAGAGTTTGCTGGTTCGGATCCTGGGCACGCACCGACGCACTGCTTGGCAAGCCATGCTGTGGCAGCGTCCCATATAAAAGTGGAGGAAGATGGGCACGGATGTTAGCCCACGGCCAGTCTTCCTCAGCAAAAAAAGAGGAGGATTGGCAGATGTTAGCACAGGGCTGATCTCCTCACACACACACACGCACACACACAAAATAGGCAGCATTAAGCCCAGCTAAAAATTGGGGTCCTGTTTCTAAGAAAGAAGAGGAAAATGTCACAGGATTGATAACCGTGAAATGGCTAAAATGTACCAAGGAGTTTCTAATTAATTAGAATTTCCGTAAGTTAATTAGCCATACAAATGTGTGTTTTTCAATATCCCAGATGAATGTGTAAAACGTGTTATGCTGAAAGAACATGACTGATCTACAATAGTCATTATCATTAGCTAAAATTCCAAATAATTTCCATGATAGTTATGTTGCTTTATATCATTTCGAGATATATAAATTAGATTTAACATTTTCTCACTTATGCAATATGTTTTATATTCACCTCACTTACATATATCATCCACCTATCACTATTCAAACCACCAAAGAGTTAGATCTAAATTTAAAAATAATTAAATTACAATTTATATATAAACATGTATATCCTCACATAATGATAGATATACATGAATGGCAGATTAGATAGGTAGATGACAGGTAGGTAGATAGATAGATAGATAGATAGATAGATAGATAGATAGAAAGATAGGTAGATAGATGATTGCACTACCCTGCCCTTAGTCTCTAACAAGTGAGTTGAGACACAGTTTATGTAAAACCAAGAAAATTGAAGGACAAAGAATAAATTAATAGGGGCCAGCCCAGTGGTGTACTGGTTAAGTTCACACACTCTGCTTCAGAGGCCCAGGGTTCAAGAGTTCGGATCCCAGGCGCAGACCTATGCACCACTTGTCAAGTCATGCTGTGGCAGTGTCCCAGATAAAGTAGAGGAAGATGGCATGGATGTTAGCCCAGAGTCAGTCTTCCTCAGCAAAAAGAGGAGGATTGGCATCAGCTGTTAGCTCAGGGCTAGTCTTCCTCACACACACACACACACAAGAATAAACTAATAGACGTTGGAAGAATATACAGCTCCTTTTGTCCAATGGGACCAAAACTTTGAAGAAAGTTTTAAAAACCATATGTTGTATAGTAGCTCTTTGTTGTATAACTTGCATACTCATTACTCATTACTATTTTAACTTAAGTGAGAATTTGAACAATAGGATGTCAGTGACTTGCAAGACTCAAGATGTTACTCTAAAGATGCTAGGGGAGGGGCCGGCCCCGTGGCTTAGTGGTTAAGTGCGCGCGCTCCGCTGCTGGCGGCCCGGGTTCGGATCCGGGCGCGCACTGACCCACCGCTTCTCCGGCCACGCTGAGGCCGTGTCCCACATACAGCAACTAGAAGGATGTGCAGCTATGACATACAACTATCTACTGGGGCTTTGGGGGGAAAATAAATAAATAAATAAAATCTTTAAAAAAAAAAAAAAAAAAGATGCTAGGGGATAACGCAATGTCCAAGACATATCCCAGTAATTATAGAAGTAACTTATATCTTGCAAGTAGCCACTAGATCAGTACTACATTTGTTTTACAGGTAGGGGAAATCACTGTAATGTGATATATAGCTGTGTAATGCTTTGCCTGAATGAGTAATATCCTAATAATTCTCTAATATATACAAACTAGATGAAATTGAAACAAAGACTAAAGAAAGTGTTGGCAGATTATCCACTCACTTTAATTCTAGATGAAGCATGTGGTAGATGATAGCAGTTTTAAAGCAAGAACAGATGAAAATTGGCTCTAGGAGAGAGAATGTAGAGTAATTTCTTTCATCATAAAAATGTCAAAAGAAGGTCTGGCCTGGTGGCATAGTGGTTAAGTTCCCACACTCCGCTTCGGCGGCCTGGGGTTCGCAGGTTTGGATCCTGGGCTCAGACCTACACACTGCTCGTCAAGCCATGCTGTGGTGGCATCCCACATACAAAAAATAGAAGAAGATTGGCACAGATGTTAGCTCAGGGCCAATCTTCCTCACCAAAAAAAAAAAAAAAGTCAAAAGAAATATATGTCAATTCAGAGGTTTGGAAATAATGTAATACTTTGTTATTCTTTCATATTTATCCTAGGTATAAATAATCTTATAGCATTTATATTTTAACAAACCATAAGGGATTAGCAAAAATGTTTTCATGTAAAATATTATCTCAAGTTTGACACTATCGTTTTTTTTTTTTTATAATTTTATTTATTTATTTTCCCCCCAAAGCCCCAGTAGATAGTTGTATGTCATAGTTGCACATCCTTCTAGCTGCTGTATGTGGGACGCGGCCTCAGCATGGCTGGGGAAGTGGTGCGTCGGTGCGCGCCCGGGAACCCCGGCTGCCAGCAGCAGAGCGCGTGCACTTAACCGCTAAGCCACGGGGCCGGCCCTGACCTATCTTTTTTTATTTTTAAATATAGAAACCTAAAACACATTGATTCTGAGGAACATGTGTAATGTAAATAGCTGCCAGAATTTGAAAAATATTTAAATATTAACTCATAATGTCGGCACATGTAAGAAAAAGTACATTACCTCATAATTTCTACCTTTAAGTTTTTGTGAAACAATATCATTTTTATCCAGTTATGACTGTGACAGCTTTCTCATAAGAAAGTTCTGCTATGAAATAATAAATAGGTTTCACATATGTGCTTCCCCCAAGGAGTTTTCTTAGGTTTCTGATATCTAATTTGGTTTAATGTCTATATTGTGTAACATTGCTATGCCAATTATCTTTTTTACTGTTGTAGCTCCTAAAAGATATAATCCATAGTTTGGACTACTAAAAGATGCTATCCAATACAGAAAAATGTTTTAAACATTCATATAATTCATAAAATAAATGAAAGACTAATTATTAAAATGGAGGTAGAGATTATTTTTCTTCCACAACTATTCCAAAACAAACTCCCTCTCATAGTAGAATCAGTTGTGACTAAGAAGAGAAAATCAAAGAAATTAAGGACTCACTACAATAAAAAGCAGATGACTTCAGAATAGAAATGTATTCAAATGTCTAAATTTGATTAAATATAGACATAACAAAAGACAGCGTATTCAAATATTGGCCCTTTATACTTGTAGAGCTTTGTAAATCCTTGAATAATAAACGTCACAGAAGTTGTAGAATCAGTACCATTATTTGAATTAATCAGAAATACATAGAAATTAAATTAATAACTACTAATATTATAGTATTTAATACATGAAGAGCTAAGTTTGGCCTTGCTTTATTAAGATGGATAGATTCTAAAAGACATAATACAATTTATCCTATTATAAAATTCAACTATTTGCAGATATATGTTGAATGGGATAGAAGTTTTGTTAGATTTTACTTTTCAAAATTGAATGATATATTCTTTAATTATACTTAAATCTATTAGGACAGAGATTTTTAAAAAAAACTAGAAGCTATTGGTTATTTATTATGCATAAACTGGGTATTATGTGATAAAGCATGTAAATGTAATACTTGCAAATTTTATTTGCTTTAGTGTGACAGTCTCACTTTAGATTAGCAGAACAATTTGGGGTATTATTTTTTAAAATTACAACCAATTTTCAAATTCAAATTTAAAATTTGAAATTTAATGGGGCCAGCCTGGTGGCATAGCGGTTAAGTTCGCACGTTCTGCTCCATTGGCCCAGGGTTCACCGGTTCAGATCCTGAGTGTGGACCTACTCACCGCTCATCAAACCAGGCTGAGGTGGTGTCCCACACAGAAGAATTAGAAGGACCTACAACTGGGATATACAACTATGCACTGGGGCTTTGGGAGAAAAAAGAAAAAAAAAAAAAGAAAGGAAGATTGGCAAGAGATGTTAGCTCAGGGCCAAACTTTCTCAAAAAAAAAAAAATTGAAATTTAAAAAAAATCATAGAAAATGTTGTTTTTTTGGTAAGAAATCAGTCTATTACTTTTAATATAAACAAGTAAATAGACTTTAGGGTTGCATGTGTCCAGTATATTTTGACGTAGTTTAGTGTAAAATTATTATTAAAATTAGCCCACTACATTGGCAGATATTTCTACATATCATTTGTAGCAACACAACCATTGGTATATGCTAAGATATATGGAAAAAGAAAACATGGTTAATAGAAATCCTGGGTCAATGCAAAATGTTTTGTATCATTTCCCAGTTAATTGATAGAATGTAGATTTGAATAAAAACTCTAAGAAAAAGTTTCAACTTTCACAATTATTCTTTTCCTTTCTTAATTCACATTTACCAAAGCAAATTTAAGATTGGCTACCTAGAAAAGTGGCTAATGCTAAACCATAAATCTGGCTTGTTAATTTAAGTTCCAAAAATCCCAGTTTTTTGGAAAACTAACAAAGAATGAACTCACTGACAGAGTGAGTCATTCTTAGGAATATGATTAAGGTTCTTGCTTTTGCCCAGCATACTTAACCAAAGCACACTCTGGTCTGTGCCTAAACAACCAATCAATTTAGTTATATGAGTCAATTCCATCAAAAAAAAATCATGCACAACAACAACAAAAATCTCAACTTTGGTAAGAGGAGGAACTTGATGATATCTTAAGTCCCTTTATCCAAAATTCTTCCTAAAACTCGACAGGAATAATTACAAATAGGCCGAATATTCCAATCTCTTGATTTCTTACTTTTAAGATAGAAAATTTTTTGATTGCTCAAGAAATTCTGTAACTTTTTGATGGCTCTCAAATTCATCCTCCTTACACTAATCACTTCTACTGCAAATTAAATAATGTGGTCAAAACTGAACTCACCCTTACTGCCACCTTCATTTTAGCTAAAATCATAGAATCAAGTCAAGCCATTCTAGGTGCCTTCCTTTCAATCAGCTCCCTCATGTCTATTTTCTCATCCATTCCTGTTTGTTCTAACCATTTACTATTATGTGCATCCCCTCCTCTTTACCTTCACTGGCTCTTCCTCCATGTAGACAGTGATCATTTCTTTGCTGTATCTTACTAACTGAATGATTTTCCACCTGTCTGAAATGCACTTCCCATCTCTCCTTCATACAGCTAATCTCAACTCTTTCATCAAACACAGTTCACAATCATCTCTGGGACGCCTCCCTTAACTTCACAATCTAATAAATTTCTTTTCTGTCCTTCCTCAATCCTCTCTACGATAGTATTTATACCACTGAACTACAATTGCCGGTTTACATAACCCTCTCCCCTTTGCCTTGAAGGCAAGGCCTATATTATTCTAATTTTTTAACTCCTGGTCCACACAAATATGAGGCCCTAAATGCTACGAATGTTTCTCCAATGAATAGAGTTGCCAAGAAATTTTTTTTTAATTCTTGATTCTAGTACCTATTAGTATGTTGAATTCCATATCAAAAATGATAATATCAGATTTTTATTATTGCACAGTTTTTTATATTCCCTAGACGATGAATTCGGATTTTACGAACAAAGCTAAATTAACTTTAAGTAGCTTAAAGTTTCGTAAATTAAGCCTTGTACATGTTTACTCTGAGACTGATTTATAATCCTAGCCTTTCAAAAGCAATATCAGAAATACTAAAGTCATTCTGCGTGGTAACTGGAATTAAAACTTACAGCTTCACAAGATTCGGCATCTTTTGAGGATCTATATCATGGCTGAGGTCCTTAACTCCTCAAATATCTTTAAAAATAAAATGCAACACAATTTAAATCCCTACTATGGTGTATTAGTTCACCATTAAAGATTCTAAACTGTTTTTTTAAATGTTCCCCACACCTCAGTTGCAGCAGATTGTTGCACTGCTCATAGTTGTATTTACAGGCATGGACCTTGAATTACTTTTCTTGTAACTTAAACTTCCGTATTGCAAGAAAAGGGAAGTGAGCTTTATCAATTTTCCTGTTAGAAGGACCTGTCCTAATGAATAATAATACCACTGGGTTTCTAACTACAAACACTGTTTTATTTTGGTTCTTAAGGTATGTTTGTTTGCTTAACACGTGTAGCATTTTAACACTAAAATTTTCAAACTACTATTTTTAATGTTTTCAATTTAGTGAATTGAATTTTGCACCATGAAAAAGCAATTTTGCAAACACCAGTAGATTAAATCTAAAAACAAATATGGCATAAATTATATGACATCATATAACTTAAATCACTGCAAGTGATAATTAAAATCTGGAATTTGATAAAAGCTATTAGCGGACCAATTGATCATTAAACTGCTACTGAAGTTAGAGTATTAGAAAATGGACAAAAACCCCATGTGAAACAGTCTGTCAGAGTGTATAGGTAGAAATGAATTGGCAATGTTTTTATTTTGTTCACAAGAAGTTTTGTCTACACTGTCAATCAAGGGCAATGGTTGGGGGAATTGTCTCAGCAACAGGAAATCCTGTCACCATTTTCACTAGTGGAAAGCAATTAAATTAACTGCAAAATACCAACATTATTTCTTTTCATGTGCTGTGAGAAGAAATAGAATTATACATCTTAAGAATACTAAAGTGTTTAAGGCAGGTCTCATGAGGGGTCATAACTCTACACTAACTCTTAACTTTTGAGTCATGGAGAGAATATTGCTTTCTACTGCAGTCACAAATGCAAGTATTTTTTCTCATATATACAAGGAAGAAAGAATAATACCAGTTTTAAAAAATAAAATCGTAATTAGAAGTCTGTACTCATAAGGAAAAATGGAATTGGAAACTAACTGCATTAGAGTTTTCCTGACACACAAATTACAACTCTATTTTTGGACTGTTCAAGTCCAAATACATGAAAATCTAGACAAGAGATAATATATCTCCCTTTTCCATTGGTTGGATGAACTTCTGACAACCAGCAGTCATTCTGCTCTGTAGACTGTCACACCTCTGTCAAGTGTTCAGTAAAATCTCTGGGACAAATGGCTGGTGGGAGCAGAATTGCACAGCAGCACAGACGAGGTAAATAATTACCACTATTTATCAATGATAAATTAATTTTTATTTGGATAGCCAGATGCTGGAGAGAGAAGATTGTCATCTGATCTCTTCCTTGAAAGAAATTATTTTTAGATAAATTTTCTCTATTATATAATAATGAAACAAATATGTCATTATATATATTTGTATATATACATTATGTATATTCAACATTTATGGAGTACAAGATAATTGGTACCAGATAATATATTGATATATTAATATAATGATTATATATGTATATGTTCTTGTGTGTGTGTGTATATATATATATATATATATATATATATATGCTCCTGTTTATATA